CTAAAAATTGTACAAGGCATTTACATGCTCATTTCAAGTCTTATGCAAGGACACATTTGAGATATGCGCCAAGATATCTTAGTAGGGAAGCAAAAAACGGTTGATTGTACTTCATCATATGTTTCTAGCTATGCTTTTAATGCAGATAAATCAAGGAGAAATCTCGTAGAGATGATAATCGTAGATGAGTATCCACTTTTAACAGTAGAGCATCATGGGTTTAGAAAATTTGTGGGAGGTCTTCAACCTTTGTTTAAGGTTTCCTCTTAAAACACCATTAAAAGTGACATTAAAGATTTATGATTTTGAAATACAAAGATATTGGAGTTATTAGAGAAGAACACTAGTAGAGTAGCAATTATGATTAATATGTAGACGACTAGCAACAAAAAAGGGATTTATCGGAGTCACTAAAGATGGTCAAATGGGCTCGGCCCGGCCCGGGACCACGGAGGCCCGGGACCAGGACCGACTTGGGACCGGCACGGCCCAGGACCAGTTTGGGACTGCCAGTTAAGGACCGGTTACGGTTTTCGTCAAAAAGAAAGGCCCGGCCCGTGACCTATTGGGACCGGTTTTGGACTGCCAGTTGTTTTTGTCAAAAAAACAAGGTCCGACCCGGCCTGGGACCAGCCCGGTTTTTTCAAAAAAAATATATTTTTAAATGTGTTTCTAACTTTGTAAGTGTATTTGATTGAAAACCAATTACAAAATTATAATAAAACGTACTTTTTAAGTGTACTTAATTGTCTCATTTAATCTCTATTCAATATATATAAGTCATATGGTATATGGGGGAAGATATCAACTTACAAACACTCACAATTCTCACAAAAAAAAAACGTATTTTTTAAGTGTATTTAATTGACCCAATTACATACTTTCAAGTGTATTAGAATAAAACTTTTGTATTCTTTAAAAAAAAGCTTCAAAAAGATTACGTAATAAATCAAACTTTAATTTGTTTTACATAGGACCGGTTTAGGCCCAACCTGGGATCGGGACCAGTTCTCATAACCAGACCTCATACACCTTAACCGAGTCTTCGTATTTGGATTGGAACCGGGACCCGTAATACTAGGACCGGTTACATGATCACTATTTTAGGACCGCCACTGATTTGGGCCCGGTGATAACTCTCAATTTTGAGAGTTATTTGTTGTTCAATACTCCTGTTTTTATGTGTTTTATGTACCCACTTTGCTTCTATTATGTATTTTTGGTCTAAAATATTTTAAGAGGTGATGAAAGGTCAAAAATTTGATTATTTTCTGAAAAACCGTTGCTGTTGGTAAAATGTCCACTGTCTGCTCACTTTCTGCCCACTTCGTATTTTCTTCAAAGCGGATTCGGATAAATTTAAATACTGGTTCTTCTGGGTATTTAAAAGAATTAATTCTGCAGTCAAATCCGAAAATCTCGCAATATTTAAAGGAATGGGCCTTGTCTGCTCCATTATTTTAATGAAAATGTCATCTCTACCTTTTCCTCATTTTAAAGGAAATGTCATCTTTACCTTTTTTTTAACCTTTCCAAAAGGGTGACAATGTCAGAAAAGCTTACATGAAGTGATAGTAAGTTTTTGTCCTCTAGATAAAGAAGGTTTTCTTCCTTTGGGTAAAAGGGATGTCCATCTCTCCATTTTCTCTTGTAAATTGAGGCATTTGCTCTCATTTTAAAGATCATCCATTTTGAAGCACAACTCGGCTGAAATCTTTCTTCTTTTTCTTCTCTTAAGTTAAGTTTTAGCATGTAATTTTCTTCTTAATTGTAATCTGCTGCCCACATTTTCACCCCTGTGGGCAGCAAACTTTTGTTCTATTTTAATGAAAGTTACGTTTCAGTTTTATTTCTTGTCTTATATTATATTCTGTAATTTCATTATGAGCTAATCACCCCTTTTGGGTTTGGGTGTGGGTGTGAGTCAAACTTAAGAACTTGAAGGCACACTTGGGTGTTGCCATTTTTATTAATTCTTAAGCTTGGTCACTTTAAGTTGGGACTTAAACTCAACGCGGATAAGCCGATCACTTTGAAGTGTTAATATTAGATCATTGATCCAGAGATGGATGGATTCGAAATACGGCTTAAGTGATGCACAAAGATTTGAGAGAGTCCTTGATAATCACGTAGAGATACGGATTCTGCATGTTTTTAGCTAATGTTCAGATATTAGTCGAGATTTATAGTACAAAGAGATTTGAGTATAAATCTTCAGGCTAGTGGAACCAGATATCTTTTCATCACTTAGCTAATTCGGCAAGCTTAAAACTGATAAAAGTGGACACTTTGTGGGCACTCTGTAGGCACAGTATATAAGAATCCACTTTCGAGAGATTGGAGTTTTTATAGAAGTCCCATGAGTTTATGACCATACTATTCTTACAATCTTCTTAAGGGAAACTTACATCCATACCCATCTTTTAATTTTAAAGGTTTATTTCTTATTTTAAAGCTTTGCACCAACAAAACTCAACTTTTATTCACAAGCCGAAACGTGCTCAAGAAGTTATGAAACTCTCTGATTCTCAATAGACCAGTCCTTGTGGAAACGATCTTGGTACTATACCACTTTATTACTTGAAACGATCATAGTGTCGGCGTGCACTTACACCGCCACTATGGGGGCTTTGTGCCCACTGTGTGAACACTTACGATTCCAACCCATCACCCGACCCAGCCCAGCTTGGGACCGGTTTTTGGCCATGTCTAGCGGTCACTGCTCACTTTATTGGTCAAAATTGGAATATGCAAGGCAAATCATGAGGTATATCTTTACTATTTACATTCTTTAATGTTAATTCATTTAGATTATTTTAAGTCTTATTAACGTATCGAATCTTAAACCAGGTTTATTTATGTGTCTTGTCCATATACATCTGAAGTTCTTGCGGATGTACTTTGTGATTGTTTAGGTAACGAATCTAACTGAAGTTCTTGTGGATGTACTTTATTATTTTCAGTCTTATTAACGTATCAAATCTAACTGTTGATAATCGCACCACAAATGATGCAATAATCAACATATTGTTGGACAAGCTTCCTTTGAGTTCATTTGTGATGGGTGGGTGGATGTTTCACATTTGATGTTGCGCTCACGTTCTCAATTTGATAGTTCAAGTTGGATTGGCTGTTATTGGGAGGGAATAGAAATTATTAGAGATAGTGTTACCTTTTGGACTGCATCGCCAAAAAAGGAACAAAAATTTGAGAAAACAGCCCGCCAATTGGAAATATCATCTGCCAAGAAATTGACACTTGATTGTAAGACTAGATGGAACTTTACTTATTTGATGATCAATGTTGCTATAGTTTACAAGGACGTCTTTCGACGATTAAAGCAATGTGAGTCTCTGAATAAAGTTTGGCAACTGAGCAGGATTGGGAGTTCGATAAAGAGATTTGTGATAGATTGCAATTATTATATGAGGTAAGGTAACTCTAATTTTTATTAAACTCTACTTTTGTGTTGTTGATATGAGGTACTATTAATTTTTGGTTTTTGTTTTTTTTGGCAATCCTTAGGTAACGATAATGTTTTCTGGTTCAGAGTATCCTACGGTAAATGTTTATGTTTCCATCAATACGTGAATTATATATTCTTTGGTCGATTGGACTGTTCTCCTAATAAAGTTATTAAGAACATGTTGCAAAACGCTTTTGAAGTTTGACAAGTACTTGTCTGTTACATATGGGATTATTGGAATGTCAGCGTTTTTAGATGCTCAGTGTAAGCTGAAGTTTGTGTAGTTGCTTTTTCATGTGCTTTACGAACAAGACAAATCGACGATTGAAATTGAAAAGCTCAAAGAATTGGTTTACACTATGTTTCAAGAATATGAATTTAGTGATTGTGGTGTAAGAAACAACAATGGAAGTGTTGACGGCTCGTTTTCTTTATGTTCAGGGTCTTAATCAAGTCATCGTGTTGAATTTAAAAAGCTTTTATCAAAGATTGTTTCAATTGCCAACCAACAGAGTTGGACAATTACTTGAAAGAGAAACTTTTGCCTAAAGACATGGAGGTTGATTTGCTACTTTTGAGTTTAAATACCAACACTTCAAAGGATAGCTAGAGACATTAGTTGTTCCTATTTCTACTATCGCCTCCAAATCTGCATTCAGTTCCGGTGGAAGATTGGTAACAAGAACTGAAAGATTGGCAACTCCACATCGTAGTCGACTTCACCACAGGATGAGGGTGAGATTAGAAGTGATCAATGATTCAGATCTCTTCTTACGTTTCTCATCTAAACTCTTATTCTCACACAATCATTCATCTATACTATATTATATAAATTATTTGACATTAAATCTCAATTATGATATACATGCTTAAAAACCACAAAACATTCCGCTTATGGGTCCAGACGTTGAGGTGCAGACGATATTCACGGGTCCCTTTTCAACCTACCATCAATGGCATCACATGTTACTGGTGGCCCACACCATTTCTCAGTTGTCGTATCCGCCAAACTATTACTACACCATTTTAACATATCTCTATCTTTATAAATATGGCTGTTTACGCACACCTCCACTGTTCTAACGAGGCCCTAAAATTAGTAGTTGAACAATGCCATAGAATTTTAACATATCATATGCTTAATATTTCTGAATCAATTAATCTGCCCAGTCCAACCCCACAAGTTCGATAAATAAAGATCTTAGAAGAATGATGTAATGATTCTATGGGTTGGGTTCCGATGAGAAGAGAAGTTATTGTGAGAAGCGTAAGAAGAGATCTCTATCCTCGGATCAATCTTAATTGAATGTCAACACCAATGAGGTGCCCTAGATTCACCAAATCAATTCCCTTCTAAAGTACAATGCATGAATGAGCATGAGATATAAGTGATCAAGGGTTCATATATTATTACGCTTTTCACGATAATTTCCCTTCTCACACAATCTTTCGCTTGATTCTATTATGCCTGTATGAAAGCAAAAGCAAAAGCAAAAACAAAAGCAAAAACAAAAGCAAAAACAAAAACCAAATGGAAGGAAAAAAGAACTCCGAAATACAACAAAGAATTACATTTCCTTGCACCTAATAACAAATACAAAGAAGACAGATCCCCAGCACATTGCAAACACCACACAAGTCTACATGCTGTGAAGTAGTTGGCGAATCGATGGAGTAACAGTTACACATACATACATACAAACGAAAATTAAAGAGAGGAAAGGAGAATAGATGATACTGGGTGATGAAGAGTTATTGATTTCAGATGAATCAACGGCTAATGGCATTCCATCACTGTTAAGGGTACATGACTCTGGAATGGAATTACCATCTGTGCTCATCATCGTGGCTCTGAGGACAGCAGAAACCGTATGTATGTATGCTGACCTGTTCTTGGCAAGAAGCCACGTTAGACCCATCAGCTCACAATCTTCATTGTGCATTTTACTGCGTCTCTCCTCTCGTTTGCTTGTGTTTACAGCATCATCCTTGTTAAGCTACATACATGAACAAACCCATCACTTGTAACCAATATGTAAAGATTGGCCTCCTTTTACATGCTTTAGATGTTTTTCAAGATGTAGCCGATATCAACAATGTTCGTCCTTCATGTCACAGATAAAGGGTATACTCGGAAGAATAAAGATCTCATGTCCCCAAATTCCATGTCCCATCAAACACATGAAGACAGTTATTTCATTATATATGTATTTAATTATGTTATTATTCTCTCTTTGATGATGTGTTTTCATGTGATTGTTGTGATGGACCGGCAAGGGATATGGGATTTGAGTAAAAGAGATTCTTATTCATGCTCAAAGGGCTCTGTTTAACGGTTAAGCAGATTCAATTACAGCCACTTAGCTGACACAAGGACTAGTACTCTGCTAAAAAGTCGTAAAAATAGACATTTGCTTCCCAGATGTCACCAATTTAAGTCCCACTTAAGGCAACTGAAACGTTTGTCTGACTATAACCTTCAGGCCCTCATAGGATTAGTAGAGGTGTCGGGACACCCACGATTACCAAAAAATAAAAAAAGTAAGAAAGATAAACTACAAATACATATCCATCAATCATCCGTATAAGCATTTTCCCAAACTTGCGTTTGTCTTTTTCATTATGTTGATTATTATATATAGTTTCTTTCGTGCAATAATTTCACAAACAGGCCATTCACAACTTGCAATAAAATCTGAAATGTTATCTTGGACTTATTCAGGACCAAATTGATAATGTCTATCCAAATGTCAATGAAAGATATCACAAGGAAACATGTGAAGATATTTGTTTGTCTAATTCTACGGATTAGAGTCCTCTGCATTACTTGCAATACAAATATGTCACATTATAATCAATAGGTTTTATGCACTCATGTTATATTTGCATTTGGCATGATCACATCCTTTTATTCGTGAAGTGTCGATTTTCTAGAATCTCTCAGAATGATTCCGTTGGTGATAGAAATAGATAGGCATAGAGAGTAATCTATTCTAGTGTTCATGTATCTACCAAAGAAAATAATGACTAAAAGATAAACCAAACTGACCTGACCTCTACCTTAAAGAGTAGAGCGGTTGTTTCCATAAAAGACTAGCATATGGTGAACACAGAATAAGAATAAAAAGCAGGAACATAGAACTAATATACTAATCTCACAAACAGAACCCCCCCCCCCTCCAAAACCGGGATGTGTTCTTTGCAACAACCAATTTTTTTATAGAAAGTTTGACAAAGGATACCGGGTCATTTTAAAAGGTAAAAGAAATTCATATCAATTTGTACAAAGTAGAAAAGCACTCGCTGTGACCCTGGGACATGGGTTTCCGTCATGGGGACAAAGGGTCCATTTTTACTACGAAATAAGTACAGGTGTGATTGATAATTAAATGACCAAGTTGGGAATGCAATAAGACTGGAGCAGTGACACTTATGAGAAAGAGTTGAGCGTCTCTTTCAAATGTCGAAAATTGAATAGACGGATTTGTTCCAAGAAAAATAAGCAATGCTAATATCCTTCCAAACTTGTTCATAATAGACATTTGGCAAAAACCCAACATCATACGATCTTTTGCCAAGTGCAGATTATAAGGATATAAAACTGCCCCGTTTCATTCCATACACTCGGTAAATAATGTTTAACAACAATCAAACCACTAAAACACCTAAAATATTATGAACCAAAAGCAATGACAACAGGATCAACATGTCCTGCTCAAATGAGTAAGGGTTCGCAACTATAAATCAAGTACCTAAAATACCCTTAAATATTTTGGACCAAAAGGAACAACAAGAGGCTCAACATTGGTTGCTCAAGTAATTGGAGCTTGTTTGGATCATGGCTCAGTTAGTTTCTCCTATTGGCCTCAAGACCACTTGTGGCTGCTGGCCAATTACTAGGATGCATCAATTTAACAGTTGAGCTACTCTCATTCACATGTTTGGTTTATACCTACAGTATAACACAAGATTTGAGAAAGAATGTATATTACAGTCAATCTCCCCATGATTGCTAAACAGGTAATCTCTAAAGAAATCTTTTTATAGTAGAAACCATTCTGCTTTGTTACTAGTTTTTTGGGAAGGATTGTGGTCAGCCAAGAGAGTGGTACGCACGCGCTTCAAAACAGCGCGTCAGAACTAGCACTGCCCGTTTACAAGCACACAAAAGAAACACTTTACCAAATGTAAGCAACAGACAATCAATTAAGAACCCTAATATCGAAACAAGTAAATTTTATTGGGGAAGAAAGCTAACCAGATGAAGAGTTTTCAAGCATTTGGAGCAACCATTGAGACCAGCGAAGCCATTAACGGCCACATTATTCAAGCAATCCTTCTCTAACCTCTTTACTTTCGGATTCCCAACCAAATCCCCTTCAGAATTTACCGAAAACGTTTCCGTACAGCTCAACGGATGTAATCTGATGCCGCATTCGCAGTAGACAACGTCGCACGACTCGTTCAATCGCATCAACTCTATTCCTTTGCTCTTCAGTCCATTTTCAAGCCTATCAATGCACGTCTCTGAATCGTTGGGGAGGAGCGGAAGATCATAGTAAGATGCCGTTTGAAGGGGTTCTTTGACAGCTCTGCCCAGTGCGGTTGCAGAGTAAGCGGAGTACATCCAGGCGGCAAGGACTGGACAGCACCTTGAGCGTCTAAGCGGACCCGAGCCATGTTTGCCGGTGCAAGCTGATTTAACGCTTGTGAAGAGATCGTCGGGGAGGTCTAAGGGGCATCCGGAGGCGTCGGATTGTTCCGGGAATGCGGGGATGGTGGTGGCCGGCGAAGATGGGGTTGGTAGAAAGGATTGGACGGCATCTTGATTGGGTAATGCAGGCAGCAGAGGCAGGAGAGTGAGAAATAGGAAAATGAGTAAGCAGAGGAAGCACGTCATAGTGGTGTACTGAGAAATGGAAGGGGAAGAAGGATGAGTGACATTAAAGAGTGAGGTTGAGGTTGAGGTTGAGGTTGGGGAGGAAAGCTGACTTGCTTTATTGGGGATGGTGCGTTCCGAGAAAGGAATTTAATCTCCTTTCGTACCATAAAAGAGAAAGGATTCTGCAAATATCTATTTTGGTCCTTATAGTTAGGTTTAGGGATAACTGACCCTCGAATTGATGACTTAAAAAGTTTTTTTTTGGGTCGTTAGCAACTCTAACAGGTTTTTTTATAATTTTTTAAATTATAAAACTTAACTATAAATTTTTTTTAAGTATTACATTCATTTACAATAGATTTATTGTAAGATAAATATGTCATTGTCTAAAGAATACATTGATATAGATAAAAATAAATGTTGAAAGATATACTTTTTCTAAATCAATCTTTATTTTTGTTGTATTTTGTCAGATTTAAAGATAAATGGCTAATGCTGTAATAAGAATAAAGTTGTTGGTTAAAAGTGAGGGACTGCACCTCGTTTTATGAAGATCTTCAGGGATAGCGGAGTACATTGTTTCATTCTTGGAGGACCAAACTTGCAATTATTGAATTTATGTATAAGTTGTGGCTAATAGGTTTAGCTCACAACTAATATCTTTTTTCTTCTATACGATTTCTCTTTCAGTTCGCTTTTTCTCTCAAACACTTTCATATTTCGTTGTTAATCATTTTGGTTAACATTGTATTAAATCTAAAATTCGTGTATTACTCTTTTGTATTGTAATAGTTGAATAGTATTAAATAAACATTTGGTTTATGTTTTGTTCATGGTATTAGAGCCTCTTTAGATCAATTTTTCTTCTTCGTAAAGTGGTTGTGAATCATCTTCTGTTTCACCAAGGTTTGGCTCAAATCAATCAGGTTAGTTTTCTTTCCTTCTTCTTCTTGATTCGAGTAAGTGCTCATCTGTGTTTCTGGTTGTAGATCCTACATGATCTTCTTTTGACCAAGACCGATTGATGAAATACTCATCTGTATATCTCATTGTTCATATGTTGTATTTCATTTTTTAAGTAGATGAACGGTTCTAGGGTCTCGGATTGCGCAGATCTGTTTAGATCTTGTTCACCGGTCTAGACCGTGATATTCAAAAAAAATTCATGTTTGCTCATATGTTCTATTGATATAATCTGGTTGGATAAGTATTTTTCTTAGTATGTGTGAGTAGATGAACAGTTTTTTTGTCTCTCGGGTTATGAAGATCTTTTTAGATCTTGTTTACCGATTCAAACCGTGATATTCACCTTGTTGTTTCAAGCTTCTGTTTGATATTCACCTTGTTGTTTCAAGCTTATGTTTCCTTTATTGCATGTAGCTTCCTGGTTCATATGATGTATTGATATAATCTTTTTTTTTTGTGTCTCGGGTGACGAAGATCCTTTTAGATCTCGTTTACCGGTTTAAACCGTGATATTCATCTTGTTGTTTCAAGGTTTTCTATGTCCTTTATTGCTTGTAACTTTGTGGTTCTTCGGTTGCTTTGTTAGGTTTATGCCTTGATATAATAATCTGCTAGCTCCTAATATTTTTAGATCTGTTAGACTTCTATTGGTTTTTTTTCCCCTTCTGTGGGTAGATGAACAGTTTGCTCTGTATCAACTTGCCAAGATCTTTTAAGATCTCGTGCTACTGGTCCAAACTGTGATACTCATATGGTTGATCCTTGTCTTTTGTTTTTTTTTTTTCGTTTCCTTGAAATATATGATTAGGATTCGACTAAGTTGTGAAGATCTGCTTAGATTTCATTGTACTAAGTCTAACTGTGATTTTTTTTGAGTTGTGACGCTGTGTCTTTTTTGTAACTTCTCTCTTGAGGTACTTCCTGTACCTCCGTGCAAAATATTGTTTAGTTTGTTATTGCTTCTGTCTGTTTGTATATGTTATAGTAAGATAGGTTATGTTCTTCTTTTCGCTCTCTGATCTATATTTGTTCAAATAATCCTGGGTTACTTTGTTAATTTCTAACTTAGGTTAAGTTTTTTTTGCCACATATAGGTTTGTTCTCGCCCTTCTCTCTTCTTTTCTTGTACTTTTATGTCTCTTGTTGTGGTAAGGTTCTTCCTATTTCTGGTTGTGTGTGTCTTATTTCTTGTTTCTATGATTGTATTAAGTGTGGTTCTCTTGTTGTTTGGAACTGAATAGTTAGCTTAACCTAACACTTCAAGTGTTTTAGGAATCCTACTTTTATTTGTTCTGTTTCTTGTGTGTGTTTTGCGTTTTCTTTTTGGTATGACTGGTTCCGAAGTTGATATTGGTAGGTCAATGGAATCCAAAGTCACTAGTTTAGACTTTGAAGACCCCTTGTACTTTCACCCCAGTGATACTAGTGGAACCCCCATGCTGACTGTTAAATTGTGCGGTACTTAAAATTATAAAGTCTAGGCGTGTGCTATGACATTAGCGTTAGAAACTAAGAATAAGGTTTGGGTTTATTGATGGAATTTGTCCCAAGCCTGTAAATGATCTTGTCTTAGAAAGACAGTGGGATCGATGTAACTCTGTGGTCCTGTCTTGGATTTTGAATTCAATGACAGAGGATCTCTTTCTAGGGCAAGTGTTTTCCAAAGAATCCTCAAAGATTTGGGAGGAATTAAAATAGACCTATGATAAAGTTGACAGTTCTGTCATGTTTAATCTTCATCAAAAAATTAATTCTTTTAGTCAAATGGAACTTCTGTGTCTGAATACTATCATAAACTCAATTCTTTGTGGAAACAATTTGATGCTCTTTTTAAACTTCCCTCATGCACATGTAATGCTTTTCAAGATTTTTTTGAACAAACTCAACTCATTAAACTCATGCAATTTTTAATGGGCTTAGATGACATTTATCAACCTATTAGAAGCAATATTCTCACCAAGGATCCTCTTCCTTATGTTAAAACTATCTTTTCTCTAGTCTCTAGAGAAGAGTCACACAGAGGGGTAATGTTTCTCAGACTCGACCCAAATCTTAAACAGTGCCTTCCTTAGCAAGACCATAGAGAATAAGCATAGAATTGGTAAAAACTCTAATCTTAATTGCAAACATTGTGGGGCCTCTGGACATAAAACTGAAAGGTGTTTTAAACTTATAGGATTTCCTAATAACTTTCAAAATAAATCCAAACCTCAAAACCAAGCTTTTAAAAATATTGTAAATAATGCTTGTGTTACTGAGTCAGTTTCTATTAAGTCTGTTCAAACCTCTTCTTTAGTTCCCTTTTCTGAAGATCAGATCACCAAAATTCTTGGACTTGTTGAGCAAAAACAACCAAGTGAAGGTGTTTCTGCTAACATGGCAAGTATTTTTAAATCTCACAATTCTGGTTGGATCATTGACTCTGGAGCAAATCAACACCTGACTCACAATACTGGTCTCCTTAATAATATAGTTGATATCTCTGAGCTCGATCTCAAAGTTAGTCACCCAAATGGGACTAAAGCCAAAATAAATAAAATTGGAGATTTTAAGATGTCAAATAATGTATCATTATTTGATGTGTTGGTTGTTTTAGGTTTTAATGTAAACCTGCTATCTGTGCATAAACTTGCTAGGGACAATAAAGTTTTTGTTGGTTTTGATGAATCAAAGTGTTATGTGCAGGATTCGCTACGAAAGAATGTAGCGGGGACTGGTAATCAAGAATGGAGTCTGTATTATTTTGATCAAAGTTTTGATAGTGAGTCTTCTTGTAACTTTCAAGGTTCAAACATCTCTTGCTTAGCTTCTGCCCAATTGTGGCACAGTCGACTAGGTCACCCTACTGACCAAGTCTTGAAACTGTTAAAAACTGATCTTAAAATTGATAATGTTGATTGTGGTCCACATGACATCTGTCACAAGGCTAAGCAAACTAGGGAAAAGTAAAATATGGTTTGGAAAATGTTGTTAATTACTCTTTCTTGTCTTCTGAGGGTAACTCTAGTATACCAACGTCTAGTCAACAGACTAGAAGATCAACTAGAGTTTCTGTGTTTCCACATAAATTTGATGATTTTATTATTGAGGGAAAAGTAAAATATGGTTTGGAAAAGGTTGATTACTCTTTCTTGTCTTATGAAAATCTTTATTTTGTGTCTAGTTTGAATAAGTCTGTAGAGCCTAAAATTTTTCAAGAAGCTTGTAAAGATATGAATTAGGTTATTGCCATGAATAATGAAATGGAAGCTTTACATAGGAATGGTACTTGGATTATAACAAACCTACCTCAGTGTAGAAAACCCATAGGCTGCAAATGGATATATAAAATAAAGTATAAATCCACCGGGGAAATTGAAAGATACAAAACTAGACTTGTAGCTAAAGGGTACAGTCAAAGAGAAGGTTTAGATTATGAAGAAACTTTCTCTCCTGTCGTAAAAATGGTTACTATTAGATGTATCCTTAGTTGTTCAAAATAAATATAATTTGTATCAATTAGATGTAAACAATGCTTTTTGTTATGAAGACTTGAAAGAAGAAGTCTACATGACATTACCTGAAGGGTATTATAAGTCAAATGAAAAACAAGTGTGCAAATTAGTATTTATATGGCTTAAAACAAGCACCACGTCAATGGTATGCCAAGTTGTCTTCATGTTTAATTGAACACGGGTTTATACAAAGCATAAATGATTACTTCCGGTTTACCAAGACAATTAGATCTATGTTTATTATTCTTTTGGTATATGTTGATGATATTGTTGTTACTGGAAGTAGTGAATCTGAAATTGAAAATGTAAAAGTGTTTTTGAAAAGTAAATTTCTCATGAAAGATTTAGGAAAACTAAAATTCTTTTTGGAAATAGAAATCTTCAAGAGTCTTAACGTTATTTGCATGTCTCAAAGAAAATATTGTTTACAATTACTTAATGATTTTGAGTATTTAGGGTGTAAACCCTGCAATACTCTCATGGATATGAACCTTATTGTTACTAATTCGAGTAATTGTAAAGATCCTCCTTTAACTGGTCAAATTGGTTACCAAAGACTCATTGGAAGACTAATATATTTGTTTGCCACTAGACCAGATATTGCCTTTGTTGTTCACTGTTTAAGCCGGTTTATGCACTCACCTAGACAATCTCACTTAAAAGTTGCTCT